TATATTTTTGTTCATTGAACAACTGTATCTATAAATTTTTTAATAATCCTTACAAGAGCAAACAGACAATAGCCGTTAGTAATTAATGTTTTATAATCTGTAAATAGGTGACCTCCGTTAATTTCATTACATCCGTATTGGCTGGCAAACAAGTTTTTATCCCCAAATCAAAGCAATTGAAATCTTTTAATAAACATTCGACAACCATAATTTCCAAAACACATTATTACAACGTTATTATTATAAAGAATATATCTCTATAGAAACGACAATCTGGATTCAGTAAACATTTTATCTTCAATAATTATTATAAAAATCAATAAATTGTTAAATGACAAAATTTTTAAACTCTGTTCGTTAAACATATTGGTGGATTATTCACCAAAATGTATAAATGCTGAGATTTTAAGTGGCCCTTCAGATTTAGAACTCTTTGTGAATAAATCCTTTAGTCTCCATGACTTCTTCAGCGGAATAAAAGTTTATAATTTCGCAAAATATTGAATTTTACAATACAGATGCGTCATATTGTCTTATATTACGCCAACTATGAAACTTTATAAACGTATGTCGAATATCAAAACGGTATATCACTTTCTATCGAAGTATGTCGACAGTTGCGCTCGCACAGTTCGGGAACGTACTCTTAATTAGCAGTTTTTCAAATGAGCTTTGATATATTGTTTAAATTTCGTTCGATGCAAGAACAAAAAGATTACCGTGTAAAACAAAAGTCAAGGCACATGTATATACTTTAAAAACAAATACCGCGTATCGACATAGTGTATAAAATCCGAATAACTTCCGGATAACGCTCGACCGATTTTCGCCGATATTAATGTTGCGTAAATAACACGCATCGGTATGAAGACCAAAGTGATAACGTTCGTAACAACGCATTAAAATATCTAATGTAAATATAGCATTTCTGCAGCACACTCGGTGATTATCTCGCATGTGAACGCGTAGTCCAGACCCGGCTAATCATCTAAATTTTAGTTATAACGCGTACGCGCGCGAACAACGACGTGTTAGTTTTAATTAAGTGCGAACGTTTACGTATAGTATAACATAAGCGAAACACTTTTGTAGCAATTATTCTCGTATGTCACGGGTATTAAATGTAAAACGTTTTACGACGTGGAACCGTTTCACGTTCCGTTTTTGTGCACCTTCTCAAGGTTTTTTAGGCTTATCACATGTTTTCATTATACACTAACGAGATTCAAAATAATACCTTAAACACAGATATAAAGATTTCGAAGAATTTCACGTCTATAGAAGCAACACACTGTATCGAGACATTATTAATCGTTTCGATACGCAGTGGAAGCACGCTTTTGACGCACAAGAGTATCCGGTGCTTGATTTATATTTAATCTTGTCATGCGCTGCAACGATTCATACGTATTTCAGTCTGTTTAGTTCATAAAGCGTTATACCTCCCTAGAAAAAGTTGTTCATTTAAAAAAACTTACGCGCAGTCCCTATTAAGTATCTTGGTAATCGAGGGACATTCAATATATTCTAATACTTTCGAGTCATCTATCTTGATTCCAGTAGCTTTCTCGATTCTTTAAATTGCTTTAAAGTAGCAATTAATACTAATGTAACGTCACATCTAGTCGAAAAGACACGAATACTCGCTGCTACGCAATCGAGATTATACCATGCGTCCAATAGTCCTTTACAAGTATCAACAATCTTATCTAAAGCGTTATCAGTACTCTTTTGGTCCTATTGTCTACCACGCTACATACATATCAGCGTAAAAATTTCGTTTCTCGTACCGATGCGTAACGACAGGCCTAAAAATGCGATCGTATATCATAATTTCATCTCCCATAAGACGATATGTGCGTCATTGCTGTTAGGATCTTTGAACGCGTAGGTCGATTTCGAACTCTTGTCGACACCGGACTGCGCGTGGAGTTGCCTCCAATTGATGTAACCGCGTCCGCCCATCAGCGTCAACACCGTTCTCTTGGGTTGGTCTACTTGCTGAGCCGCTTTGCCGTTTTTCTTGCCGTTCGCCTTAATATTGGTCGCGGACGTCGCTTCCAACCCTGATTCTACCGCGTTATTGTTAGGTGTAGAGAGGTCGTAGGGACCGTTGCGACTAGCTATGCTACTATTACGCGATAATTTTCCAGTTTTCAGAGACAAGTTCTCCTCCGAGCCGGAAGACGTGTACAAGGAGCTGGCGTGAGAGTC